TTTGCTCTTCTTTGGTACGTGCTCAATTCTGCACACCTTGTGTTTGTTGTATTGTCTCACTGACAAGTTGATCTTGAATTCCCGATGGTGACTGCTTCACAACTACAACTCCTTCAATCTCCAATTACGGGCTTGATTTCCTCCATTTCTACGTCGGTTAATGTCAAGCTTGATGATTCGAACTATCTCAATTGGCACTTCCAGATGCAACTTTTGCTTGATAGCAATGGCATCATGGGGTATGTTGATGGTTCGATTGCCTGTCCATCTCAATATGCTTCGTCATCCGGTGAATCTGGTATCTCTTCTTCTTCTCTAAATGATGAATACATAGTATGGAAAATGCATGACCGAGCTATTATGCAATTGATTACTGCTACTTTATCTCCTATTGCCATGTCTTGTGCGATTGGTAGTACTAGCTCCAAGGATCTGTGGTTTAGGTTAAAGGAACAATTTTCAACTGTTTCTCGGACTAGCATCTTTCAGATGAAATCCAATTTGCAAACTATTAAAAAGGGGTCCGATTCGATTTCTCAATATCTTCATCGCATTAAGGAAGCTCGAGACTATTTGTCTGCTGCTGGGGTCTTTTTTGCGGATGAAGACATTGTTATTCTTGCTTTGAATGGTTTACCTGCTGAGTATAACACTTTCCGGTGTGTTATCAGGGGGCGTGAAAGTGTGATTTCACTGAAAGATTTTCGGTCACAGTTACTTGCAGAGGAAATCATTGTTGATAATTCAGTACATAATCCTCTTCTGACAGCTATGGTTGCTAATACAGGTTCCACTTACACAAAAGGGGCTTCGGTTCAGTCTCAGGGTTTCTCTCCTCATCATGGTCAATCTCAGGTAGTCACTGGAGGCTTTAGACCCTATAATGGGAACAAGAACAAGGGCAAAGGTCGTTTCAATCAGGGCTCGAGATTTTATAACTCTAGACCAGTGTTTTCCCCCATGGCACATATGCTTCCTACCTCTAATCCTGGAGTTCTTGGTCCATCTCCTGGTCAACCGTTTGGTCGTCCTTCTGCACCCATGCCTCACATTTGTCAGTTGTGCAATTCTGCGGGACATACTGCCCCATTCTGTGGAGCCTCTTCACATGAGCCAACAAAATGTCACATTTGTGGTCGAAGTAACCATACCACTTGGTATTGCTTCCATAATGATAAGGGTCCCAATTACATGGGAATGCATACCCTTCTTCTGTGTTTCCACAGTCCTCATATGTTATGCAACCACCGCCTGTTCAGTATAATTCCTATCAAGCTCCTCCTCAGCATTCCTCATTCACACCTTCTCAGTTTCATGCACCGCAACCCCCTATGCAAGCCATGCACACAGTGCACAACTCTGTACCTCAGTCATCAAGTTCTTCAGGTCCTTCTCAAGTGTGGCTCACGGACTCTGGGGCCACCAATCATATGACAGCTGATTTGACTAATCTGTCCCTGGCATCACCATATCCATCAAATGAAACAATTCACACTGCAAATGGGGAAGGTTTGAAAGTATCTCATGTTGGTCATTCTACTATTCATACATCAGTTTCTCCAATCAAATTGACCTCTGTGCTCTGTGTTCCTCAATTAACTCAGAACCTGTTGTCAGTACATCGCATTTGCCTTGACAATAATTGCTGGCTTATATTTGATGCTTTTTGTTTTTGGATTCAGGACAAAACCACAGGGAGGATCCTCTACAGAGGCTTGTGCAGTAATGGGCTGTATCCTATCCACTCTTTGTCCACTTCCAATTTCCAGAAGAATAATCAAGCTAAGGCCTTTCTTGGACAACTTGTTCAATCTGATTTGTGGCACCATAGGTTAGGTCATCCATCAAATAGTGTTGTCTCTCTGATGTTGCATCAATCTAATGTACCTGTTCCCAAATCCTCATTACCTATGCTATGTCATACCTGTCTAGAAGGCAAATTTAGCAAGCTCCCTTTTCCAAAGCATGTCAATAAGTCAGTCATTCCTTTTGAAACTATTCATACAGATTTGTGGGGTCCTGCACCATGTATATCAGTGGATGGTTATAGATATTACACCATCTTTATAGATGAATGTACCAGATATTGCTGGATTTTCCCTTTAATAAACAAGTCTGATTTGTTCTCTACGTTTGTTGCTTTTCATTCCTTTGTTGTTACTCAGTTTTCTGCCTCAATTAAAATTCTTCAATCTGATGGGGGGGGAGAGTATACCAGTCTCAAATTGAAACATTTTCTTCTTGACAAAGGCATTTCACATCAATTATCTTGTCCCTATACCCCTGAACAAAATGGGGTAGCTGAAAGGAAGCATAGACATATCATTGAAACCACTATCACACTGCTCCAAACAGCCAAGTTGCCACATCAGTTCTGGTCTTATGCTTGTCAAACAGCCACCTATCTCATCAATCGAATGCCTACTGTTGTCCTTCATAACCAATCTCCTTTTGAGATCCTATTTGGGACATATCCAATACTTACACATCTTCGAATTTTTGGATGTGCTTGTTTTCCCCTTCTCAAACCCTATAATAGTACCAAACTACAAGCAAAAACCACAAAGTGTGTGTTTCTAGGGTATGCCACAAAATATAAAGGTTATCTATGCTATCATGTGTCTACAAAGAAAGTGTTTGTTTCTAGGCATGTTATCTTTGATGAACAACATTTTCCCTACACAGATTTATTGACTGCATCTTCCAACACAGTTTCCACTGCACATAGAGTTGTATATCCATCTCCTAGTTTCAATTGTCATGCCCCTATAGTTACTCCCGAAAATAGAATTGTCTCATTTATCCCAGAATCACCTCATCAACCTTCTGCCTTGGATTTACCTGAAGTCTCTCCAAGTTCTCAGTCCATTACTGCTCCAATCCAAGTCTCTTCTCAGATCCCTGTGGTACCTGATATCAGTTCCACTTCTGCATCAGAAATACCTATTTTTAATCCTGATACTCTGTCAGTAGTGTTGCCCATTCCTCCACTTAATTTGCATCCTATGCAAACCCGAAGCAAAAGTGGGATTTTCAAAAAGAGGGCTCTCTTAGCCAGTGTTCAGGATTCTGGGGGCACTGATCTATCCTTGGTGGAACCAGCTAGTTATAAGTCTGCCATCAAAGTACCTGTGTGGTTAGCAGCCATGAAAGAAGAAGTTAATGCTTTACATGCTCAAGGCACTTGGAGTCTAGTTCACTTACCAGCAAACAAGAACCTGGTTGGCTGTAAATGGATTTTCAAGATTAAGAGACACTCAGATGGGTCTATTGCAAGACACAAAGCCCGGTTAGTTGCTAAGGGCTTCAGTCAAGAACCCGGATTGGATTATGGGGAGACTTTTAGCCCTGTAGTGAAACCTACTACTGTACGGTTAGTTCTTGCTCTGGCTGCTCAGTTTAATTGGTCTCTTCGCCAGTTGGATGTTAAAAATGCGTTTTTGCATGGACTTCTACAAGAGGAGGTCTACATGTCTCAACCTCCAGGTTTTTGAAGATCCAAATCATCCTTCTCTCGTGTGTAAGCTGCATAAATCTCTCTATGGTCTCAAGCAGGCTCTTCGGGCCTGGAATGACCGCTTTACTCAGTTTCTTCCTTCTTTGGGATTTGAGAACACATATTCTGACTCATCTCTATTTGTTAAGCATGTTGGTCATGAAATTGTGGTGTTGCTTCTCTATGTGGATGACATCATTATAACTGGCAATGCTTCTGATGCAATTACACAGGTCATTAGTGCTCTCACCACTGAGTTTGATATCAAGGACTTAGGCCTACTCCACTACTTCTTAGGGATTCAAATCACTAAGACTGCACATGGTTTGTTCCTGTCCCAAACCAAATATGTTGAGGATTTGTTGGTTAAATCTGAAATGATTGAAGCCAAACCGTGTGATACCCCATGTCTTCCTTACAACAGGTTATTGAAGGAGGATGGGGAACCTTATTCCAATCCTACGTTGTATCGAAGTCTTGTAGGAGCTCTTCAATACTTGACTTTCACACGGCCTGACATTGCTTTTTCTGTGCACCAAGTGTGTCAGTTCATGCAGAATCCAATGGTGTCCCACTTTACTGCGGTTAAACGCATCTTAAGATATCTGAAGGGCACAATGCAGTTTGGTATATCATATACTAAAGGAGATTTGCAGTTGAAGGCTTTTAGTGATGCTGATTGGGCAGGGGACCCTAATGACAGGCGATCTACTACTGGTTTGGTGGTCTTTTTGGGTAATAGTCCGATTTCCTGGTCCTCTAAGAAGCAACAAACTGTTTCTCGATCCTCAACCGAAGCTGAGTACCGAGCTTTATTGTTTACATCTGCTGAGTTGGATTGGATCAAACAGTTGTTAGTTTTTCTGCACATTCCCTTACCTAGTGTGCCTGTCCTCTTTTGTGACAATCTGTCAGCCATTGCCTTGTCTTTCAATCCTGTCCAGCATCAAAAGACCAAGCACATCGAAGTCGACGTCCATTTTGTTCGCGAAAGGGTCTCACAGAAACAACTATCCGTGCAATTTGTATCTTCTCAAGAGCAGTTTGCCGATATTCTTACCAAGGGCTTGAGTGGTCCTCTTTTCCGAACTCATTGCCGCAATCTCATGCTTGGTTCATCACCGCATGTTCTTGAGGGGGGATGTTAGAGTATAGTGTTTTAATATTGTGACACTTGTCACAATCCTAGTATAGTTAGTTAGTTAGCTGTTATATGTAATAGTATATATATAAGAACTCATCATGTAATTACTTAATCATTAAGAAATACAACAGATAGTTCTTCTCTTCCTAAACTTCTCTCTAGTCTCTCTTTCTTTCTTCTCTGTTCTTGATTCAGTATACAAGATTACAGTATATGTTAATCATCTGATATAGGTTAACACACATGACCTTTGGATTAAGGGTTGAGGGTTTCTTTGTGAAAATGTATTCGTCCATTTTTTTTACTACAAATGAATGTCTTATTGATTTTGGAATTCTAATTTTTTGTAAAGACGATCTATGAATGATGTTTTAAAAGATAGACAGTTCAAATCGTTGATATATACATTACGGAGGGTGCCATAGAAAAACTTGTGTCACAAGTTGTGTAAAATGTCACACCCTAATCCAGAATGTCCACATGAACACCCGAATAGTGATGTGATGGCCATCACCCGAAGGGTGATGAAGCCAAAAAGTAAAAACGAAAAATAAAAACTTCTCTTATACAAGTAATTAATACAAAATCCTTACAGAGGGTACAAAAATAAGGAAAACTCTTAAATCTCTTGTCTATCTCAATCTCAGCTCGTCTGGCACCTATCTTGTCAAATAATTTATCTGTAAAATAAAAGGATGAGGGGTGAGCAATAACCATCATCGCTCAGTGAGTAGAATGTGTAATATGCCAGTCAAACGATGCCATTTTAGTCACTATAGAAAATACAATAATAATATCAAAATCATTATGCACGTAGTACCATATCACATCATCTTTTTATGTGTTCATTATATCCTTTTATAAATAGAAACTCACCACGTGATTCTTATTGGCCATTCTGTCATAATGTTCCTGTGTGCAGTTTACATTTATTCATCAGATTAATGCAACACTAAAGTTCTCATGCTCCATGAACAATTCCAAATATCCACATATCACTATATTAACAATAATATTATTCTTACCATATTTTTGTACCATAATTGTATACCACCTTAGGTGGCATCTGATGTGGACAGCCACATCAACTAAATTAATTTAGCATTTAATTTCAAAATGTTAATCAATAATTAATAAATAAAAAAATTAATTAAATGATGATTGTGGTATACGAAGAGTCTTCTTCTGTCACCTAAGATTATTTAAGTGTTTTAATTAATAAAAAGATTGAAATTAAATGATGTAGCTTGTCCAACTCATCTGCCACCTAAGAACCTAAGATAGTAAAGAAATGTGATATAAAATTGTAGTAAGAATAACATTACTCCTATATTAATAATTCCGAAAGCATTTCCACAAATTCAACATGATTAACTTGAAATAGAGATATTTGAAAATAAGTATAATTTGCAACACATTACATAAGCAACTCATCTTGATATTCCGAGTTTTGACAAGATAACACATCTAACAATCTCCACACACCAAACCTCTAATTTTATCGGATGTTCCTGGATGCTTGCTAACCAAATGGAGCAGCAGCTACTTGTTTTTGGAGCTCTCGGAGCTCTCTTTGCGTGCAGAGGAAAGGAGAGAGTTTTGAGGGAAGGAGAGAAATGTAAATAGAAGGAGAGTGATGAGAATGAGCTGAGAGAACGAGAGGCGTAGGGAAAGGAAAGGGAGTTAAAATAAAATAATAAAATTATTGGTTGGTGGGAGTGAGAAGACAAAGACTGTGGTCAAGTGTTTAGATTATATAAATGAGAGAGAGGGTGATGAGGGAAGATGGTGGAGAATAGAAAAGTATTAATATAATGATGATGTTGTTGAAAAGATAAAAGGGTCATGATGATGTTTGTAGAAAAAGAAAGAAGGCCGGCTGTAAGTGGGAGAGACGGATTGCCGACAGTTAGGGAAGGATCCCACTTCCTGATTTAAAACTTCACAGAAACCTAACCAAAAACGGATTCTCACATCAAAAAAAGTCATGCCATGAATCCACATTATATATATAAATAGGTAAGGCTAGAGATACTAAATTTGTAGATAAAATTTTGAAAACTAAAGAACATGGAAGTTAATGATTGATTTATTAATTAAACGTTAATATTCTTATTGATGACACATTATTTAGTTTACAAATTTAGTTTCATTAGCATTACCACACACACATATATATATATATATATGTGTGTGTGGGGTGACTGAGTACGGAAAAATTAATGACAAATGAAAATATGCACTTGATTAATTCTAAACATATCAAATTCAAGGGTCAGTGACCATGAACCCTTGATCATCATGTGACAAAAAAAACGAGACTCAACCTATTTATCACTATCTTGTGCATTATTTTCATTTTTCCTATTTAAAATTTTAATTTTAATTTTTTTTTTCCTGTAATCCTTGTTTCACTATAAGGTTTAAATCCCAAAACTTTGATATCAAACCCAAGGATAAGAGATTGTTGGGTGTGTCGAGTATCAAGTGATAAAAGTTGGGTGTGAACAGATTTTTTTGTATATAAATTGAAACTAGATTAAAGTCTTAACATTCTATGTACTTAAGAAGTAAGTTATTTTAAGTTACTCCACGAGAATTGAAGAAGAGAATAGTTAATTATATTGTATAAAATGCTATATTTATTTACATACGTACCCTTGACAGATGAGATCCCGCATGAGTATCATGCTTTCTTCGCCGCTGTAAGGAGGGGCGATTGGCAGGAAACGGAGAAGTTTCTTAACCAACACCCCAATGCAAAAACAGCAACGGATTCATGGGGAACAGCTCTTCACAACGCAACAATATGCGGGCACGAGAAAATTGTGGAAGAGCTGGTGCAGTTGATGACGAAGGAAGACTTGGAGAGAAAAGCTAGTGGTGGTTGGACGGCTCTTGGTTATGCTGCTAGAGACAACCTCAAGATGGTTGAATGCATGGTTACGAGAAACAGGGAACTACTCAGTATTGCCGTAGAGTCCTGGCAAAGGATTCCGATTGTCATCGCTGCTCGGTATGACCAATGGGATATAGTCCGATACCTCTACCCTTTCACTCCACGCGAAGATCTAATGCCAGATAAAGGCCCTTACGGCTCTGAACTTGTTAGCTTTTGTCTTTTTGCCGAACAATTTGGTAACGAAACTACTCTTCACTGAATCAACTTTTCTGAATTATACACACGCACACATAATATACAATAATCGGTCTAAATATATACATACGTACAGATATTGCATGGGAGTTACTTCAGCGTTCCCCACGCTTGGCATGTACTCGAGGCAACAACATATGCCCTATATTTGCATTTGCTCATGTGCCCTATGCATTCCCGAGTGGGACATCACTCAAATTATGGCAACGGTGAATTTATAATTGTTAGTAAAATCTTCCCTTTTCTCTTTCTACCATTAAATTTGTCAAACATTATATGTGGCATGTACAAATGTCACCATCACATAAAGGGTTTCATAAGGTGGCTCAAATAATTAGGTGGTCTTCCTAATATATTTCTTAAATCATATACCATAATGGTATGTTTTCATCCACAAAATCTGTTTTAAAATATCCATAGAGTATGTTGAATGAGGAAATCTTATTTCTTGGTAGGTATACACATAGAACATGTTCCTTCCGTCAATGATTTTCGTATAAATATTCAAAATCAAGAAAATGAACAAGGTAATCAAAGGAATAGAACAGGTATGTTACATCTCAAAACTCTAACTACGATTTGATATGTTGAAGTCCTTTTCATATGTTATGCTCTTCTTTTTTTTCTTTTTCTTTTTTTTTTTGAATTTTTTCCAATATCCATCTCCTTGTTTTTATAATTAGGTGATATGTGGTTTGATGGAAAGGAATCGACAATGAAATGCGGTCGGCCTATCCAAACATAATAAGATACAATTAATAGACAACTAACACGGCCTGTCCGAAAATCAAAAAACAAAATATCATCTTTATATATAAAGGGAGCACACTAAAATGGTGAAACATTTGAATATCTCTAAAATGTCACCACTTAATAGAGAAGAACAACATACAACTAGTCTACCCAATTAAAATAGGGTCAAAATTATAAAATGACACAATTTACATAACTTGAGTTGTTCCTTACGTATAATGTTTGCGCATATCTTGGCAGTTTTCAACCGTTAGACGAAACACACCCACACTTAAAGATTGATTGTAAAACAACATAGCCCCATCGATCAGTCCTTCCGCAAATAGTGTTCCACATACCTAAAAAAAAAAGTAGTGTGTGCACTTACAATTGATTTATCCTTATACTCTAAACTAATGACAAATATTGCAGAAAATGGTTTTGTTAACAGAATGTTTGATGAATTCTTATTTGATTAAAGAAATGTAATTATACAAGTCTATATACAAATGAATTTTTACATTCTAATAGTCATGAGAATTCTCATTTACTTCATGTAGATGCCAAATACTAACTAATGAGAACTTGAAACAGTTTATTTATTTATAATTTTAATGCTTAAAATTAGTTTAAACTTGAAAATGGAATATTTATTCAACAAGTTTATTCAATCTGATGATCGTAAATAAAGAGAGGTAGGTAAAAACTATAAAGGGAGTGCAAAAGTTACGTTTTTTTAATTAATTTATTGGATTCAAATTTATATGGAGATTCATTCATTCGAATTTGGGACCAAATTTCTTATTGAGATCAAATCTTTCCAGGATTTGTATTGACTGGATTTAGAAATTTGACTTTAAATTTGTGTAGCAGTCTTGGGTTTATTACAAGGACTTTCATCGAGGCTTTTAGAGTTTCTGGGTATGTGTACATTAATTAATTTTACTTTTTATGGAAAATGAAAACCACACAATTAACTTCTCACACCTCTACTGAATCATGTCTTTTTGAGTTTGTTTGATTTATCAAATTTGAAGTCTGATGACTATAAATTAAGAAGAGTGTGTGAGAAATAAAATTGTGTGTGAAAGTTAGCTTGCATTTTCCATTTGTTTAAACTAATAATTTATTTATTTATCTTTTTATTTCGTAAAAATGTGGTTGTGAGTTGTAACATTAAACATTGTTTTGAATGTTAACGTAGGAATCAACCGCATTCGTGAACTAAAATTGATCCATGTTTGGTCACGTCAAATTGTGGGCTGCATGTGTGAGGTCATAAAACAGTTGAATCATGAAGAAATGAGAGATGGCGATGTATATGATGCAATATTCGCAGCTGTTGAAAATGGGATTGTTGAGCTCGTTATTTCTCTATGTAAAGCCAAACCAGAACTGCTGTGGACTTGCAATACATCCGGAAAGTACTTATTTCAGTATTCGGTTGAATGCCGTCAAGAAAAAGTTTTTAACCTTATATACGGAATTGGTAAAAAAAATCTCCTTACGACTTTCAAAGACTATTCCGACAACGGCATGCTACACTATGCGGGGATGTTATTGTGAACACGGAAAATTCCTGAAACGAAGAGACAAGAACAACGTGCACAAACAAATATTTAAGTGTTTGATGATTTTGGGTTACAATCTCTCTCTATTTTGATCCTCTGATTCGATCTCCGTAAGGTGTGTATTTGTGGATGTGCGATTGATCCAAAGGGCCGTTGGGCTTGATCTAAGGATGAACGTTCTTCAAGGGCCGTGGACTTGATCTTGAAGGTGGATTTGAGTGGATCTTCAAAGGGGCTTTTGGGCTTGATCTTTGAAGAACAGTGATGAACGGATCTCCAAGGGCTTTTGGGCTTGATCTTGAAGAACAGTGATGAACGGATCTTCAAGGGCTTTTGGGCTTGATCTTGAAGAACGGTTGGATGCGTGGATTTGTCGACGTTGTTGATCCAAAGGGCCGTTGGGGCTTGATCTTGGATGAACGGATGATGAACGATGGTGCTTTCTTCAAGGGCCGTCGGGGCTTGATCTTGAATTGGTGGATGGTTGATCCAAGGGCCGTCGGGGCTTGATCTTGAATTGGTGGATGATTGTTGATCCAAGGGCCGTCGAGGCTTGATCTTGGAAGAACGATGAACGAAGAACGAAGAACACTTTCTTGATTCTTCGGGAACCTGGATGCTTGAGAGCTTCGGAGTTTCAGAGCTTCAGAGCTTCAAGGTGTAATATGAATTCCTCCCTTAAATGAATGAAATAGGCTTGTATTTATAGAATTTTCCAAGGTCTAATTTTGAATATAATATTCCAGATGAAATAAGTCGTTTCTGCCAGGTGTTGACACGTGTCCTATTTGATGACTTTTCCAACTCATTTCAATTTTCGTTGAGTCTCACAAGCTACGTGTAAAATTTATGTAATACATGAGCGTTGAAACTTTGATTTATCGGTCAACATTTATTTACCGAAATTTCGATGTCTACAAATGCCCCCACTTCAAGTCGCGTCGTGTACATGTGCTTATCGCGTGTAGGAGATGCGTTTTGAAGTCCCTTACTGTAGATGTCGATCCAAGGGCCGTCGAGGCTTGATCTTGAACTGGGCTGGAGATTTCTTCAAGGGCCGTTTGAGGCTTGATCTTGAACTTTGTTTGAAATTTCTTCAAGAGCCGTCGAGGCTTGATCTTGAACTTTTGTTTGAAATTTCTTCAAGGGCCGTCGAGGCTTGATCTTGAAGGTTGAAATTGGACCACAAGGAGCTTCATGTGGTAGACGATCTTTGACTTTGGTAGTGGATGAATCGGCACGTATTTTGTTGCGCTTGTTGACTTTCCACAGCTTTGATCTTGAACTGGGTTAGAGGATTTTCTGAATTCCTCCAATTGTTGATTTTCCACAACTTATTCTTGAACTAGGTTTTGATTCAAGGGTGGTAGACACTTGATCTTGAATCAGACTTGTGATTTCTTCCAGGGCCGTCGAGGCTTGATTTTGAATTTGGCTGGAAGCTTCTTCAAGGGCCGTTGAGGCTTGATTCTTGAAGGTTGACTTGAACATATGGCAAGCAGGCACGCGGTGAAGGTGACGACTTGTTGCTTTGTTCAATCTTTCTAATTCACACCTGAACAGTTTGGTCAACGGTATGATCTTCAAGATTGATGGGTTCTTCTTCCAGTTGGTGACTTGATCTTTAAGGATTTGATTCAAGGGTGGTGAATCGGCACGTGCAGCCCACAACGCCTAGTAAGTCGACCCAAGAATTTGAGGGTCAAAACGAGTTCTTCATCTCAGACTCTTTCTGCCGAGTTGATTGTGCATGCTGCATTCTTTTCTGCTTGTTTCTTCAGGCAGATATGGCAGCTTCTCGAGTTCTTTAGCTCGGACTCCTTCTGCTGAGTTGACTGTGCAGGCCGCATTCTTCTCTGCTTGTTTCTTCAGCACGTTGTCTCCACATGCTGCAAGGTATCATTTTCACTTGCCTTATCTGTTCTCCAGGCATATGTGACAGCTTCTATGGAAGTACAGCAGCAGTGGGAGACGAGTACTCGAGAGCAGTGCTAGGCAGGCAATCAGGGAAGAGTTCCAAGCAGTCGGTTCCTTACCCGAGTTTGAGTGGAAGTTCCGGCATATTGTTTTCTTTATCCTTGTCTTTGTAGGTAGGAGCAAGGACAAAGGAAACGACAGGAAGAAAGCATGATATGAGATACTCTTGCTTTCTACCCTGGTGATATGAGATACTTTTGCTTTGAAGTTATTGGCTTACAGAGGTACCCCAAGGAATAAGGAACACCAAGTGACTCGAGAGGCTTCGTTGGGAAGGCATTCTCGGAGATGAAGAAAGGTTCTGTATGTTTGCCTTGCTATGGAAGGTGAAGGTGGACAGTTATAGGAGGTCCCTTAATACCTGTAGATGTACTATTCTTTCACTTGTGTCGGCAACTAACGCGTGATTGAACAGTAAACTTTCACGTGCTTTCTCCTTCACCGAAAATCTTCGACAAATTGCCCGTGATTTGCGCAAAGTTGAGTGTGCATATGACAGGTGATGACGCGGCTGAAAAAGACTGGCGCCTCTTCGATATCTGGGATTGGCGTTTCGACAAATTACCCGTGATTTTCGCAAAGTTGAGTTTGCGTGTGACGGGTGCCGACGCGTCTGGAAAAGACCGGCGCCTCTTCGAAATCTGGGATCGGCGCTTCGACAAATTACCCGTGATTTCCGCAAAGCTGAGTTTGCGTGTGATGGGTGCTGACTCGTCTGGAAAAGCAAGATGCCTCTCCGATTTCTGAGCTTGCCTCTTCGATTTTTTGAATCGGCGTCTTCGAATTCTGAGCTTGCCTCTTCGATTTTTGAATTGGCGTCGAGTGCTGATTTTTTTCTTTATAGAGGCATGCAGTTTGTTTCAAAGCACACTTGAATTTTTGCTTGTGAAAACTCCCTTCTTGCACTTCTAAGATCTTGATTTGTCCGTTTTCTTCTTCCTTCAATACTTTGAAAATGTCTGGACCATCCGACCGTCGTTTTGACTTGAATCTTGGTGAAGAGGCAGTCCCTTCTTCTCCAGACAACATATGGCGCCCATCCTTCGTATCCCCCACTGGTCCTCTTACCGTTGGGGATTCAGTGGTGAAGAATGATATGACCGCTGCGGTGGTGGCCCGGAACCTTGTCACTCCCAGAGATAACAGGCTACTTTCCAAACGGTCTGATGAGTTGGCTGTTAAGGATTCTCTGGCTCTCAGTGTGCAGTGCGCGGGTTCTGTGTCCAACATGGCCCAACGCCTATTTGCTCGAACCCGTCAAGTTGAATCGTTGGCGGCTGAAGTGATGAGTCTCAAACAGGAGATTAGGGGGCTCAAGCATGAGAATAAACAGCTGCACAAGCTTGCACACAACTATGCCACCAACATGAAAAGGAAAATTGACCAGATGCAGGAATCTGATGGTCAGATTTTACTTGATCATCGGAGGTTTGTGGGTTTGTTCCAACAACATTTGCCTTCGTCTTCTGGGGCTGTACCGCGTAGTGAAGCTCCGAATGATCAACCTTTGGCTCCTCTTTTTCCTGGAGTTCCGCCGAGTGGTGAGGCTTCAAACAGTCAACCTCCAGCGCCCCTTTTTCCTAGAGCTCCACCGAGTACTGAGACACCACCTGAGCAATAAAGACTCCATCCCGTTTGTTTGCACATTTGTAAATTTTTTTTTTCTTTTTTCTTTTTTTTTGTTTTTTTTGTTTTTTTTGTTTTTTGGTATGTAGAATGCAATTTTATGTAAAAATTCCCAGAAAAATAAATAAAATGGACTTTATTTCTCTCAATACATTTTTTTTTTGCTATATACATACATATATTATGTACATACACACACATGCCGCATCATGATTCTTTTATATGTATATATATATATATATATATATATATATTTTTTTTTTTTTTTTCTATTCCTTGCTTTTGGTGGTGCTGGCACCCATCAGTACTTCCCTTTTTTTTTTTTATATCACATTTCTTTTCAGAAGGGTGCCCATGCAAAACCCATGCTGCACCACCCAATTGCCCTTTTATAATATATATATATATATATATATATATATATATTTCTTTTTTTTTCTTTTTTTTTCTTGTTTTTTTCACATGGTGCCAGATGCACCATCACTTTTTTTTTATCATGGTGTCGCCCACCACTCCGAAACTTATTATTTTTTTACATTTTTTTTTTTGTATAAATTTTGATGATGGGATGGGGAACTTGCAGGGAGCGGAGCAAGGAAGCTGAGAAGATGGTGCTTCGAGACCGGCTAGTCGTTTGACAGCGGTCTTTGAAGTTGGTGGCAGCTGCGAGGCGAGAGACGGAGGACGGTGCAAGAGAAGAGTGGTGCAGCCTTGATGTCGGACAGAGACGCCATGGCAGGACCTCGAGGAGTTTTAAGATACTGGTGCAGGTACTGGCGAGGTGATTTTGACGAGAAAAGCATGAAGAGGGTGTCGAGCACCATGGGCCTGCAATCCTTAAGGTTGATCTCGTAGTCCTTGAGCTCTTGTTCAGGCATGACGGGATCCGATGCGGTCTTTTTATCGGCAATAAAGTTCTTTGCCTCATAAAACAGCCCAGAACGCGATAGAAGAGTTACGAACAAAGCACAATGTGCAACTGTAGGTGTCTTGATGCAGTTGAAGTAAAACTTCCCTTCCTCGACCATGCGTGCTGCAACGCAAGCATGAAGGACAGCAGCATAGGTGATTTCATCGATCTGTGTACTCGTTTCCTTCTCCATTTGGCAGAATAAATCTACTCCGATCTTTCCTTGTCCGTGTAAGCTGTACCCAGTTATCATCACTGTCCACGAAACAAGATCTCTGTACTTCGACCTGGCAAAAACTTTTGCAGCTGATTTGATAAATCCCGACTTGACATACATGTCCATAAGAGCATTCAGAACGGTGAGATTCATTCGAATGCCATGTCGCAGCAAGAATCCATGAGTCTCTTTGCCATGTTTACCTGCAGACATTCTTGCGCATACTGGGAGAACACTAGAGACCGAGAGCGGATCAGGTTTCACCCCGTCTCCAACCATCTGCCTAAACAGCTTAAGACCCTCATTGAAGCATCCCCTCTTCACATTGGCATGAATCATTTCTGTCCAAGAAATGACATCTTTCTCCGGTATTTGGTTGAAAACTGCCCAAGCTTCGTCGATACAGCCACAGTCCATGTATATTTTCAAGAGGGTATTGCTCACCAACACATCATACTCCAATCCACGTTCCTTGGCAACCCTGTGGACTTTTGTTCCATCAATCAACGATCTCAACATGCCACAGGCACCAGCCGCCGTCGCCACAGCCACAAAATCTATCTGTGCTCCGGACTCCACCATTCTCTCAAACACATGAACCGCCTTGCCGGGTTTACCTTCCGTAATGTACAGCCTGGCCAGCATTGTCCATGAAACAGAGTCCTTAACCAGGGACTTGTCAAACAGCCCTTTCGCGGAGTCCGCGGTGTCGAGGCGACCGTACAACTCAATGAGAGCAGCAACCACGTACCGGTCACCAGAGCAGCCGAGCTTGTGAGCGTGGGCATGGAGGAAGTCGGCATTGGCGATATGGGTCTGGATAAGTCTGTTCCATGCGAAGGTATCTGAGTGGGGCATTTTGTCGAACACCTTGTGGGTGACGGCCACCTTCGTGGTGGGTTTAGCATTTCGGGAGTGCTTGTAGTGGGCGGTGTTGATTGGGTTCTCGGTGACGATCAAGCGCTGGATTTGGGCGGATAGAAGGGCTTCCATTTCAGTTCAGTCGCACCCAATTCAGCATTGCCCGTACGGATTCGAGCGCAGTTATCGAGGAGGAGTTTCCTTAAGAATAGAACCAATCACCGACTCCTCAAACCCATCCGGATATGCGATTTTCATGAGGTGTAAACAAGAACCCTCTGCCATAAGTGGCATGATCACCCAAAGGTTTCTTTCAACGACAAATGAACAAAACGCCCTCACGACATTGGGATGATCTATTAATCTCATCGTCTGCGCCTCCCTCCGGATATCCTCGAAATTGCTATTGCACCGATCGAGATCCAAGCACTTGACGGCGACGACTTCATTGAAAGGGAGATAGATCGCTCTGTAAACCGTTGCGCTGGCGCCATATCCGACCTCTTCCAGAAGCTTGTAGTCGTTCGGATTCGCCGAGTGAAGCCTCGAATTGCTACCCATCCTCCCCATCTGTTCGAGGACTTGTGCTTCAGATATGTCGTTTTGAGGCTACGGGCTCTGCGTTTGGGCTGTGTGCCAGTTTGGGCTTAGTGTTGCTTTGGAGAGATCTGGGTTTGGTTGAAGAGGTACGGTGAAGCCATGGGCAAGGGAGATGACGAATTGGGCTTGGAGGCTGACACTTGGGCCTGGATGGCCTCCTTTTGAGAGGCTTGCTGCTGATGGATATACATATATATATTTGTATGTATATGTATGTAAAAGAAATCTTTTTTTTTTTTTTTTTTTTTTTTTTTGATGTGACTGAACTCGAAAAAATTGAACATTCGTGCTGCCTACGTACCCCTCCAAAGAAGAGATCAAGTCGCAACGTAGTTCAAATACATTTTTGGTATTTTCTTTTTGTGCCGTTTGCAGTTTTAACTCATGCAGGCAATGAGTGTTGGTGTCGTTTGCAGTTTCAACTCTTGCAGACAAGGAGCGTTGGTGTTGCCTTTTATGCTCGTGCAGACCAGGAGCGTTGGTTCGTGCAGTTTAGGCTCGTGCAGGCGAGGAGCCTTTGGTGTCGTTCGCAGTTTCAACTCGTGCAGACAATGAGCATTTGATGCCGTGTTGCAGTTTAGGCTCATGCAGGCGATGAGCGTTGGTGTCTTGTAGTTTAGGCTCTTACAGACAAGGAGCTTTGGTTCGTGCAGTTTAGGCTCGTGCAGGCGAGGAGCCTTTGGTGTCGTTCGCAGTTTCAACTCGTGCAGACAAGGAGCATTTGATGCCGTGTTGCAGTTTAGGCTCATGCAGGCGAGGAGCGTTGGTGTCTTGTAGTTTAGGCTCTTACAGACAAGGAGTTTTGGTTCGTGCAGTTTAGGCTCGTGCGAACAAGGAGCATTGTTGGTTCGTCAAGCGATCCGAGAGAGTTGTTCCTCGCAATCTTCATAGCAAGGAGCCTTGACCGCGTGATTGAAGAAGTCTTCGGGTAAAAAGTCGCGCATCGTGATGGCAACAGACAATCTTTGTGTCGTAGTTTCATCATCTTCAACACGTTCACGTTGCTTTGAAGGTTGACAAGAGCTGCTTTGCCCCCTTTTCAATTGGCGGACTTGTGGAGGAGACGTATGCTTCTTGTGCAATTTCTTAGGAGTGACTTGAGTCCATCCTTCAATTTTGCTTGTCTTGGACGATGCCCCTAGCGGTTGAGGTGAAAACTTTGAGTCGGAAGAGCCAGAAGTGAAGGTGGTAGTTAGTTTGACTTTGCCACTTCGTCAAGATCTAGCTCGATGATTCCTTTCTGAGCCAGCTTCATGATGAGATCTTTCAGCACGAAACATTTTTCTGTCGGATGACTGATGAAGCGGTGGAATTTACAGTACTTTGGACTGTCGGTGCGATTCATCTCTTCTGGCCGTTTGCACTCAGGCAAACCAATCACCTTCTTTTCCAACAGGTCATCCAGCATGGCAACCACATCAGAGTCGGGGAATGGATAAGTCTTCTCCTCAAGCTCCTTTAAAGTGCGTCTACGCATCTCTTGATCACGAAAAGCTTTGGTTTGAATCGCCTTGCCTCGTGTGGATATTTTGACGGGAGATGTGTTGACCGTCATCGCTTCCTTTGTGGGTTTCCATGCAGCCTTTTCCACCTTTGTCCCAAGAACTTTGTCGTTCTTGTAGTCGGCGATTGGTTCTTTCTTCCCATGATGGGCGATGCTCAACTCCATGTCATGGGCGCGAGTGGCCAATTCCTCGAAGGTCCGCGGTTTAATGCCTTGAAGGATGTATTGCAAACCCCATTGCATGCCTTGGATGCACATCTCGATTGAAGAGGTTTCCGAGAGCCTGTCTTTACAGTCGAGGCTTAGAGTGCGCCATCTGTTGATGTAGTCAATGACTGGCTCGTCCTTCCACTGCTTTGTGCTTGTTAGCTCTAGCATGCTCACAGTGCGGCGAGTGCTGTAGAAGCGGTTGAGGAATTCCCGCTCCAATTGCTCCCAGTTGTTGATGGACTCAGGCTCTAGGTCAGTGTACCACTCAAAGGCGTTTCCTTTTAGCGAGCGCACAAACTGCTTGGCGAGGTAGTCTCATTCGGTCCCTGCGTTGTTGCAAGTTTCAACAAAGTGGGCAATGTGTTATTTCGGGTTTCCCTTTCCATCAAATTGCATGAACTTTGGCGGTTGATAACCCTTCGGCATCCTTAAGGCGTCGATTTTCTTTGAATACGGCTTCGAGTACAACCCGGAGGTATTTGAGATCCCTTCGTACTGTGCCTTGATGGTGTTGGTGATCATCTCTTACAGCTGCTGGATAGAAAGAGATCTCATGAGTGCCGCTGCTTGGTCTGGCTCCGGCTTTGCATCGTTTTTCTCCACCTGAGGCTTATCTTCTTCGTCATCTCTTCTCTTTAGTGGATCATTCTCTGGGTCGGGTTTATCGCCGTCCTGCGCCTCTAGTCGATTGACGAGTGCTGCAATTTGCAAGTCTTTTTCTTCCACCGTTCGGGTTAGCCTTGCGATTGCTTCATTCATCTGAGCCAGTTGTTCTTCAACGGAGGTAACGCCGATAGTCATGACTTGTGCGACCAATAGACGTGACTTTCCTTTAGACATCCAGGATGCTGATGAAGAACGTCGTTGGCTGCTTTGGGATGTCATCTTATGTGCCTCAGCATCATGCTTCGGTGCCCCCAGCGAGGTCAGGTTGATGACAGACTCGCACCTTGGATGCTCCCCTTGCTCTTTTAGCGGCACCAATTTTGAAGTAGCATGTTGGGGAGCGGTTGTGGCGCCAATGGATTGTCTGTTTGCGGCAGAAGTGCTTAGGATCCTTCCCTCAGTGGTTGCGAGAATGGCTTGTCCTTTGCTTGATGCCATTGACTTTGAGGTGTGCTTGGATTCCTTGAACGAAGAAAGAGATGAGAGGTAGAGATTGTCCCACCGGGCGTGCCAATTTGTGAACACGGAAAATTCCTGAAACGAAAGAGACAAGAACAACGTGCACAAACAAATATTTAAGTGTTTGATGATTTTGGGTTACAATCTCTCTCTATTTTGATCCTCTGATTCGATCTCCGTAAGGTGTGTATTTGTGGATGTGCGATTGATCCAAAGGGCCGTTGGGCTTGATCTAAGGATGAACGTTCTTCAAGGGCCGTGGACTTGATCTTGAAGGTGGATTTGAGTGGATCTTCAAAGGGGCTTTTGGGCTTGATCTTTGAAGAACAATGATGAACGGATCTCCAAGGGCTTTTGGGCTTGATCTTGAAGAACAGTGATGAACGGATCTTCAAGGGCTTTTGGGCTTGATCTTGAAGAACGGTTGGATGCGTGGATTTGTCGACGTTGTTGATCCAAAGGGCCGTTGGGGCTTGATCTTGGATGAACGGATGATGAACGATGGTGCTTTCTTCAAGGGCCGTCGGGGCTTGATCTTGAATTGGTGGATGGTTGATCCAAGGGCCGTCGGGGCTTGATCTTGGAAGAACGATGAACGAAGAACGAAGAACACTTTCTTCAAGGGCCGTCAGGGCTTGATCTTGAATTGGTGGATGATTGTTGATCCAAGGGCCGTCGAGGCTTGATCTTGGAAGAACGATGAACGAAGAACGAAGAACACTTTCTTGATTCTTCGGGAACCTGGATGCTTGAGAGCTTCGGAGTTTCAGAGCTTCAGAGCTTCAAGGTGTAATATGAATTCCTCCCTTAAATGAATGAAATAGGCTTGTATTTATAGAATTTTCCAAGGTCTAATTTTGAATATAATATTCCAGATGAAATAAGTCGTTTCTGCCAGGTGTTGACACGTGTCCTATTTGATGACTTTTCCAACTCATTTCAATTTTCGTTGAGTCTCACAAGCTACGTGTAAAATTTATGTAATACATGAGCGTTGAAACTTTGATTTATCGGTCAACATTTATTTACCGAAATTTCGATGTCTACAGTTATCTCCACTGGCAAAGCTTGACCCTATTCCAGGTGCAGCCTTGCAAATGCAGAGAGAAAGGCAATGGTACAAGGTTAGAATATTATTTTATATTGTTCTTCTAGGCTTAAATAAGAATAATAGGCTTAATTACACCTATGACCCCTAAAATTCAATCCGAATAATTAATCCCATGAAATTCAAATTGTATCACTTAATACCCTGAAATTTAACTGTTTTCTCACTTTGTCCCATGCTAATGCCGTCCAAGAATAAATAAATTTCACTTCCTTATATGCTTATGCTGAAACTGTCTAGCAGTTGAATTTGTTCCAACATGAGGAACTAAACATGAAATGAATAGTTTACAAAACGGATGCACATATATCCATGTATCAAATGATGCAGCATTTTTTTTTTTCTTCTAATTACTAAAAGAACAGGATCACCTCATATCACTAAGATGGATAAGTTTTTGTTCAACGAAATGCAGGAAGTAGAGAGTATTGTGGTTCAACTCTCGGGAGTCCCAACTAAAAATAAAGATGGTTTGACACCCCCTAAATTATTTACCCAGAGCCACAAGAAATTGCATGAGGATGGAGAAAGGTGGATGAAGGAAACAGCACGTTCTTATACAGTTGTCAGCGCACTCATTATTACAATCATGTTTGTTGCAGCATTCACAGTTCCTGGTGGAGACAACCAAGAAACAGGGTTTCCCATATTCTTAAACGAAAACCTATTTATGGTTTTTGTAATTTCAGATGCAATTTCGCTATTTTCTTCGGCAACATCAGCGTTGATGTTTTTGGGCATCCTTACATCGCGTTATGCTGAAGATGATTTTCTCAAATCCTTACCCACAAAGATGATAATAGGCCTTTCCACACTCTTTATCTCCGTTGCGACCATGATGATTGCCTTTTCTTCTGCCCTATTCATCATGCTTCAGGACAAATCATGGATTGTTAGTCCAATCATTTTCCTTGCTGCTGTTCCCGTCATTTTATTTATTTGGATGCAATCTCCCCTTCTCCTTGAAATTATCGTGTCTACTTATGGCAGAGGAATATTCGATAAGAAAGTCAAACGCTGGATGTAAACTCTTGATGGTGTATGTGATATATTAATTGTGTAACTGTAGTAATAATGTAATGTTTGACACTTCTTAGAAAGCTTGTATGTATTATACACACTACTTAAGTGTTTGGTTCTTATAATAAAAACCCCATTGTTCAATTTTTTTGTTTGTTCTCTAGAAGATATAATTTGAGTGGAGAATTTCAAGGAAGTTGAGGTTCCACTTATACTCTCTACAGAGTTTAGAGTGGGAAAGATAGAGTGATAGGGAATGTGATTGAAGGTGAAATGGAATGCAAATCTTGGATCATATAGCTTTGGCAGTGTAGGCACGGCCACCGCATGAATGAATGCAACGCTCCACGTCCAAGTCTTGAGCTGCAAGAAAAAGTGATTGTGCCGTTGCAGTCCAACAGAAATGCACTAATGCTAAAACTAAATCTCTAACCCACCTTGTAATAGCCTTCACTGCCAAAACTAAAACTCTAACCCACCTTGTAAACTGATTTCGTACACTACAACTTGTCTTAAAAAATGTAGAAGACGTGTCCAATGACTTGTAAACTGATATGTTTTTTTTATGACAAAATCAATCCCTTGAAAAATGGCTCACACATGTTTCAGAATCACAAATGAAACATTTAACTAAAATTTTAACATAATGGAGATGGTACATTCACATTAAAACATGAGCATGATTTTATATTTCGGTAGATGATTTTATGTTTCGGTAGTATTTGCCAACACACCTAGTTAATAATTCAGGTGTATTTGTGCAATTTTTCCCTAAACTCAATAAACCACGACGATCTCAACACAAATCGAAATGACAGTCGTAATTTATATACCAAATAAATCAAATAGTTTGACAACAATTAACGTCCTCACAGGGGTGTAAATTGTACTGTATTCCACGTCACGAATCCAAACATTTGCAAAATGATTCAGATAAAAATTGGAATACATATAGAATATTTCCAATCCGAAGTTTTTTGAAATGCTTCAAACACTATCGTCAATTTAATACATAGATAATTTTTCAAGTGAAGATTAAAAAATAAATAAACGGATACTGTTGGTTGCACGGATAGTGTTAGAATAGATGTAAATTTGGACGAAGCAATTAGGTATTACGATTTTCAGTTCTCCATGTGTTGAGAAATTAGAACTCCCGGTGAGAAATTACATTGCGGGCCCAATTTTCCACAGTGCATTTTTGGTCGATAAGGTCCTTATTTTGACTGAGGTTGAGGATTTGTTTTTGAGTTGGAGCTTCAAGCTGCAGTGAGTTAACTACATTGTAAAAGATGAAGAATTGGTACAGAGGAAGAAAAAGAATTGGTAGATAGAAACAAGAGAGATTGTATTGATTGATTAGAAAAAATGTATACAACTGAACTTAAAAAAATGATAGTTATACAATCCTTTATATAACTATATATTCCAATTATAGTGATACCCTTCTAACTATATTAACAAACTCAACCACTAGAATCATGTCATGTGGCATTTCTGTTATATCAGTTATTACTCCCCCCTCAAACTAAACTTGGAGTATCCAAGTGAAGTTTGAACTAGCCAGGTATTTGAGACTGATTTGGAACTGCGAGACCAAGATGTCTGCCATGCTTCAAGAATTAACTTGCTGCAAACAAGAAAGCACCCACTGACACCTTTGTAAATGCTGACCATAACCTCTGCTCACTCCATTATCATCACACAAGACTACAACTTTAGTTGTTGATGAAGCCATGATGAAAGACACAAGTGCAATCCAGAAAGCAAAACAGATGAATTCTTCTAGGCAGCATGAGAATGACACTCTTGACACAAATTCTAAGGCAACAAGAGAATGACACTCTTGACAGATTCTAAAGCAACAAGAGAATGACACTCTTGACAAATTCTATGGAATCAAAGAAAGAATGAAACTTTCTTATCCATCAAGAAAGAATGACACTTTCTTGAAATCTTGTAATCCAACCAAATCACTTAATGAAACAGTAGTTTATCTTAGACAATTCATCCAAAAAACAACAAAGCAACTTGACAAACATGTGTCTTCACCAACTTCACAAAACAACTTAAGCTGTGCATTTCTTCAAACATGTGGACTGCACAAAGTTGAGAAATTTTCTCCACAACAGAGAACAGAACATGGATCAAAGTGGCAGATATAGAGCACAAAGAGCTGATATGCGAACAACACCAAGAAGAGACCATAATCTGAATAACCATTTCTTCAACTACCAACATTTCTTGTAATCAGCCTTAATCATATACTCAAAACCCCGAAACAGATCATATAGAATTCACACCAACACTGCATATGGAAGGAAGAAGTAGAGAACCATACCAAAATCTGCAGATCCTTCACATGAAAATTTTGAGCTGGGCAATTTGTCAAACACCTAGACTGCAGCGAACAAGAAGCATAAGATTTTGGAAAACACCACCACATTCTGAGGAAAAACTCCAATTCTGACAAAACACCAAATCCGGAGCAGGGCAGTGGGCCCCGGAGGAGACGAGGGAGCTGATTGCGATCCGTGGGGAGTTGGAGATTAGGGACTCCGTTGTATCAAAGCGCAGCAAGCCGCAGTGGAAGAACCTTCTCATTCGCAACAAGGGGAAAGAGCCAAGAATATACAGAGATCCATTTCCTGATTTCCAACAAACAATGCAAAATCATGATGAATTGGTTCTCCTTCATCATCACGATTTCCCGAATTAGCGTCGTATTAAGGCCGTCCATGTCGCGGGACCGGACGAGTCTGCAGCAGTTGAACAATGCAAGAAAAGAACTGAATCCGTATGAATATTTGGCCGCAAGATGGGCCACGAAGAACCCACCCAGTTTCAGGGTCCGACATACCTCGTCTGAGAATTCCGTGGGTCGACCCGACGGGTTCAGACACGAGAACTCAAAATCAAAAGATGATTCAGCGAACGGGTGTTTGAGCCAGAGACGATCAAGGGCGGAGAAGCGGTCTTAGAGACTCCAATTGAGTTAGCGACGCCGTTTTCTTTGAGCGCAAGGACGTCCTCACCGGCTAGGGCTTCGACGCAAAGGGCTTTGGAATAGGGCGAGAGGAATCCCTCAGTGAAGAGCTTTAGTTCTTGGAGGTGGTGAAGGCGTCGGTGGAGAAATCTCCAAATCAGAAAAATCAACCCTGAGTGCATATGCTTAGTCCATTACAAATCCTCCAGGAGCAGATCAGCGGGGAATCTAACCAGAAACACAGACTAGCAACTTTGAGTGCATAGCGGGCTAGGCGATGGGCAGCACCATTGGCTTGGCGACGAACATGGGTAAAAGAAGCTTCAGTGATCAATCTCAGTTTGACAAGTTTATGGTGAAGAATGGTTCGGCCCCTTATGAGATTCATGCTGGCTGATATTGAGCTCCGCAAGCAGTGGTTTAAGGTAATTCTCTTCATTTGTGTTCTCATGAAGTATCATTTTATTGATTTGATTATTTATTGAGCAATGTAGCAATAATGCTAAAGATTTGAGCCATATGTAGCAGCGTGGTTGGTATTCTCATTACATAGATTTTGGCATTTTTCGGACTTGAAATATACTATGTGGCTATGTGGTTTATATACTTAATTTCTAGGAACTGAAAGGTTTAATTTTGGTGTTTTCAGACTCGTAGATATGGCGGTGTAATTGTGAGTGAGACTGTCGGCTAGGAATCGAATGAGACGTTAACAGGAGATAAAGTAAGGCGTTTTAGTTTGTCATTGAATTGGCCATGGGTGGTTATTCTTCCAAATACAGTGGAACTGAATAGTATAGAAACAAAAGAGTGTTTTTTGTGGAAAGCTTCTCATAGTCATAGATAGGCTGAATTCTATTGTTTTCAGACTTTGTTGATAAATAGTGAGTCTCTTTAGCTTGCCACTGAATCTTGGAGTCGTTTGAAAGATGGAAAAGGATACTAGTTATTGAACCCCCTTGGCTTTTTTTTCTAACATTCGCAATTGTTTTCTGTGCATATATTATGCCCTCAGTTTCTGACATCAACGGACACTTTCCCCGAATGTGTGTTGTCTTCTGCAATAAGAAAACGCTCAGTGTTGGGGGTGGAGGTTAACCCAAGATCTCGCTGCCATGCTCGCAACTTTCACCCAAGCTCGTTGATGCTGTGCACGGCGTACAATCTGCTCAGCAACTTCACTGTTCCTCTATCCGATTGCTGCTTCGCCCAAACCGAAATTCAATTTCCACAATTCGTGGAAATTCAAAATCCAACCAAAAGGAAAGAGCTTTTTTATTAGCTTTGTAATCCAGCCACTTGGAACCTCTGCAATATCTTACATTTTTCCTCTGCAATATATTACACATGTTAATCCATAATGCTTTCCACGCAATCTATTACATTTTTCCCCGACTTATTTTCATGTTTTAAGAATCGATTTTGGTTCCTCTGCAAGCTTGATTACTATACAAAAGTGTGACAAATAGGTAACCAAAACATGAATCGAATTCATTTTCTGTGTAAAGGTAATGAAGAAGACTAAAAATTTGACACAAAAGAAAGAAGACGACTGAAAAATTGAGCAAAATTTTCGTTGTTACGTGAAGGGAGTTAAGTGCAAAAGAACGTGTTCGAGATGCTAGTATTAAGAAATGGTACCGTTAGAATGCATGTTTGATAGTCTTTTTAACAGTACCATTTCTTAACGCTCAGGAAACATTCTGATTTTCCTGGTCTCTCTCCTTCGTGAGAGTTCTCCTTTCCTTTGTGAAAGTTCTTTTCATAGGTGTGTGTGAGTTTTCCGATTCCGACAATCTCATAGCCTCCGACCCTAGCTATGGTTAGCGTAGGTGGCAGTCGCCTTTTCCTTCTCTTTACCTTTTTCCTTTTACTTCCTTTCTTTTTACTTCTTCCTTTGCTTTTTGGCCTGCTCGCCCCTTTTCTCTACCCTTTCTTGCCTTCGGTTGTTCTGTCCTCAGCCCTGCTTTCCCTCTTTGTTGCCCATCCACCCTCCTGATTCTCCTCTTTTCTTTTCATTC